AGCGCAGCCCAAGTGGCAAGGCAGCCTCGAGCGGACTGAGGCGGCCGCACCTTCTCTCCCTCCAGTCTCCTGCACACACTGCTTCTGCCCAGTGACCCCGCCCCTCTCCCTGCCCCCCAGCCCAGTCAAGGGGGGCCAGAGGACGCCCGGGAGGCGCCCGCAAAGGCAGAGGCAGCTGCCCCCCTGAAGCGGGGTGGACAGGCGCTGCCTCCTTGCACAGGCTGGAACTAACGCTATTGTCCTGGAACAAAGGCGGCCGCAAAGCAAGCAGGGAGGGCGGAGGGCAGCTCCAGCCCCGCAACAAGCCAAGGGGTGAGGGAGCCCAGCCCAGCCCAGCCCCGTGGCAGGTGGCAGGAGGCAGTCGGAGTTCCCGCAGGTCAGGGGAGGCGCAGTGCTGGCGCTTGCCTGGAAGACCCAGAGGTCAGGGCCCAGCTACACACGACGCTAACATGACAGGCGCAGGGAGGGCCGAAATGCCCCCCCCCCCCGTCAAAATGCCTCCTCCTGGGCACGGCAAGTAGCACTGAGAGAAACGGCCCGCCCTGGGCGCACTCCGGGTGGAGCAGTGGATGTGCCGGAAGGGAAGCATAAGGAAGCTCACAGAGTGGCGCATCGGCTGCGAACACGTGGCCGAAGCATGCCTGGAACCTCACGAGGCGAGGCCAGGCCACCTGCTCAGCTCCGCTCCAGCGGCACCGCACGCCCCGGAATCTTGGCCTGGTGCGGCTGGCGGAGGACGCAACAGCCACCGACACAGCCTGGGCCGCCCTGTCCTAAAGCGCTCCCAGCGCATCCAGGCACAAGGAGGCCCAGCTCAGCAGGGCTGCCAGCCAGCGAAGATCCGGGCGCTGCTGGCCAGAGGCACTGGCTCCCGTCCCGGAAACAGGCCAGATCGGGGCTGAAGGCACACGCAGCCTGGGAACGGGGAGGGGGCGAGGAGGCACAGGAGGAATCCAGAACCCGGGGGAGCTGCTGCTTCTCCTGCCCATCCACCAGCTCTGTCTGGCAGTGGCCTCCCAGAGTGTCAGGCTGCGAGCCTCCCCAAGGGCTATCGGGGACCCCTGGCATGCCAGGCGGGGAGTGCACTCCCTCCCCACCCTGGACTCCCTTCCCAAGGAGATGGCGCGGATCCTGACAGGCGGCGGGAGGAGGAGGAGGAGGGTGGGCCTGCCTCTGAGCGGCTGGGGGGCGGGGGCACCGACACGAGGCTGCTGTGAGCTGCGCCCACGCTGGCAAGTCGCTGCCCTGGCGGCGGTCCCCGGGCGGTGCCGCACGCCTAGAAAGAGGCTGCCAAGGCGGCTTCCCCTGCCCTGCTTCGGGCCAGTCGGGCAGCTCGGCCACAAGCCCGCACTGGGGAGCGCACCCATGGCGAAAGCCGGCCACCCGCCTCTCTGGTGGGCTGACTCCGAAGGGCTCCTGGCAGAGGCGGCAGGCCTCTCGTGCCGAGCAGCAGCCAGCAGAGGGAACCCCACTCACTGCCAAGCCTCCCAGCTCCGCAGTCTGGCAGCTGGCTCTTCCTCCCGGTTCGGAGGCAGCCGAACAAGGAAAACCCTCTGGAACAAGTCAGCAGCTGGCGCTTCCCCTCTTGCTGCTTAATGAAAGCCATGAGCTGCTGCTGATGACAAGTGTCTGGTGGAGTAAGCCGGGAGTTTATGAGACTCCTGCCACGTTTCGCAGCGACTGCAGTGTGCCCCCAGTCTGCCTGCCACAATCCCGCTAACCGCTTGCTTCCTGCCCCGGCTCACGGGCAACCAGCTCTGGGAGAAGGCGCCGTGGGGACTCGCGCCTGCCCGCCCGCCCGCCCACGTCACGGGAGGGCTGCCACAGACCGGAGCAGAGGGCAGACAGGCCCGGCCAGGCGTGTGGCCGCCCCCTGCCCACTGTGAGCTGCTCTGTGGTGGGCTGGGCGCAGCTGCCCCTTCCACCTTAAGGCACACGAGGGTGAGGGAAGGGCTTCTTCCCCCTGCCGGACCACAAGGGGGCAAGCCCAGCCCAGCAAGAGCTGGCCCCTGCAGGCAAGCGGCACCGTGGAGGGGACCCACCGGCCGGCCCAGCGCGGCAGAGCGCTGCCCGCTCTTCACCGTGCCCCAGAGCTGCAGCGCAGGCCGAGTGCACAGAGGGGCAGACGTGCACACGCCGATTCCAACGCCTCGTGTTTCGCAGCAGGCCACCGGGGAGAGCCGCGCTCCGCACACAGAACACCCCCAGCTCCCGCGGGAGGACAAAGCTCCCGCTCTCTTGGGCAAGTCTGGCTACCGCGCCAGCCCTGAGCTGCACGAGAAGGACGCACCCTGGACAAGAGGAAGCGCTTGGCAACGGCCCTCACGCAGCAGATCCTGCTACATTCCTCTCTTGCTCCCAAATGCAGCAGCGCAAGGGATGCTCAAGGCCAAGGCAGCTGCCTAGCAACTGGCAGGGCGAGAACCGTGGCCCGAGCCCTGCGCCAATCCGCACGTGCTCTCCAAGCTGCCTGCAGGACCCCCGGCGCACGAGCGGGTTGCAGGCTCGGGTGCGCATGTGCTGCCCGCATCCCCACCAGTCCGGCCCTCCGCCCTCCGCTCACCAGCCCTTCCTGGAGCAAGGCTTCTCCTCACACACGGCCGGGGGAAGGCGCTCAGGAGGGTCCACCAAATTCAGCAAGATGCATTTCCACATCAGATGCGCAAGCTTTGCTTTCTACTTGGTATGCAAAAGTGCACTTACATTTCCCCACCCATTTTTCCAAACGTATACCTCAGTTGTGCAGTTGTGCACATGTGCACAAGCGAGTTTGCAAGCATGGTTCAAGTGGACATATTTTCAAACACCGTTGTTTTTCTTCTGTAAGCTCAGAAATATGCCAGCATTGATGGCAGAGAGCTTTCAGGTGCACTCTCTGTTTTGTAATGCACAAGTTGGGTAGATTCAGCAAAAACTGGACAGCACAACATCTTTTTAATAAGAATTTATCTAAGTTGTCTAACTGTTGGGGGTGCAATAGAGTGTTTCACAATGCCTAACATCGTGCTCCTTTTGGGGGGAGTTTGCACTATGGATAAACCCAGTATTAAAAAGCGCTATAATATTTACCTGTGCATATATTATTTTAAATTATTTATCTGCTGTATGGAACTTATTATAAGGATAACGCAAATGGATTTTCCATGTCCTTTTGACAACTAAAAGACTGATATTGCAACAGTGGAATAAATGAAAAAAAAAAACCCTTTTATAACAATGGACAGAAGATTTAACAGCACTCTCTGCTTTTGAATGGGTGGCATCTAGACACCACCAGCGTAACTGTTTCTTTTGACTGCTGTATCACTACACACAATATATACTTATGGATATACATTTTACACACAGCCATTTTAAGTTACTTCTGCTAGTTTTGGAAAGAAAATGATGTTGCTTCAAAATTCTTGCACTGTCACTTCAACCCTTGAAAATGGCACGGGGGGGGGGGGGGCATCCCAGTCCGGAGGCAGCCGCCCTAGCCACAAGCCCCTGCAGCTCCATCTGCCCCACGGAGGCCATGTCCAGAAAAGCGAGCAGTGGCTGAGGGGGGCTGCATGTGGGCACGCACCGCGTGAGCAGTGAGCTTGCCCTGGCAGTCCGCTCACCCCACGCCTGACAAAGGACGGCCGGCCTCCCAAGGACTGGGCTTGCGAGAAGCCCTTTCTTCTCCCCTCACGCAGAAGCCCAGCTCGCATGGGCTGATTTGCTAGCTCCTGTGTCAGTCACAAAGCCACCTCTCCCCCACCCACCTCAGAGCAATTTTCGAAGTTTACACACAACAGCAAGAAACGATTCCAGAAATACAGCATTAAAGCATACGATAAAAAAACGGGAGGGCTGCTTGGAATGAACAAGCCCAAAACAAAGCAGCCCGCCTGCCCAAAGCACGAGGGGGAGCCCACCTTCAAGACAGAGTCTCCGGGATAGAGCCCCCGGCCCCCTCAGAGCACTCGGGGCTGTGTGCAAACAGGCCCCGCAGCACCGCGTTCCCCAGGATCCTCGAGGCTCAAGAGCACGCATACAGAACAAGGAGGGCTGCTGCTCAGATGGACAGAGGGCCAGGGACCCGGGCAAGCTCGGACGGAGACCGCTGCCCAAGCCACGAGCAGGCCTTGAATGAGAAGCCAGACAACGCTGCTCCACAATCGCGATCAGAAGGCCTTGGCCGGCCCGTGCACTGCCCAAGGACACTGCTGCAGGAGGAGCGGCCTGGAGGGGCCGGGGCTCCTCCCACACGTCGCCGCCTCTGCAGCAGCGCAGGGCTCCTTCTGGGCCTGCCCTCTCCTCGATGCCCCCCTCATTGCTGGATCAACCAGTGGCCTGCGTAACCCTAGAGCAACCTGGCTCGGCAGTCCAGGTTCCCCATCACACTGCATAAGCACGCGGGAGCCATTGCGGGTCCTGTGCAAGAGCCGCCTTTCCCCCCAAACGGGAAGCAGCCACTCCAGACAAACAGCCCCTAAAACGGCGCTCGATTAGCTCTGCCAAGCTGGGCAGACAGGCAGTGCGGGGCAGCAAGCTGTGCCCATGGCCCCTGCGCAGCGCGGTGCACAGCACTCGCCCCGCTCCTCCCCCTCCCCCTCCCGCTGCTGCTGGGACCTGCCAAGGCGAAGCACAGAAGAGGGGCTGCCAGTGCAGTCGTGAGAAAAAAGAGGCGGGCAACTGCCGCCCGACTGCAGCGGGAGGACACTGCATGAAGGCCACTCAGCTGCCTTCTCCACAGCAGCTGCACAGGGCGGCTCCTCTGGCTGGACACGGTGCCGGCTGATGCGGTGCCAGAAAGCGAGGCCAACGCCGCCGCCGCCACTGTGGCTGGGCAAGGACCCACGTGCCGGCCCACCCCTCCAGCAACTGGCCCAGTGCAGCTTCCACCAAGCAAGAGCAGGGGACCCGCTCCTCATCTTCTGGAACAACTCGGGCAACACACACACACGACTGGATGCAGGGCAAGAGAAGAGAGCAGCGCCACGCACCATTCTTGCCGGAGAAACGTCACTCACCGATATCCGGTGCAGGACACTTCTGGATGGTAAAGATCTGGCCCAGATCCTCCTCTTCCTCAGGCAGGCCCTTCTGCAGACGCTGCAGTTTTCGCAGACTCTCGCCCCGCTGGTGCTTCATGGAGCGCACGTGCTGGATGAGGTTCAGCTTGGCCTTGGTGGAGTAGTTGCAAAGGGCACAGTGGTAGTAGCAGCTTTCCCCCTCAGCTCCGCTCTCGTGATGCTGAAGGTGCTGTGGAGGGCAAAGCAGTGGTGAGGAGGAGGGGCCTGTCTGGCAGGAAGCCCACGCTGGGGCCTTGCTGGCGGCCTCCCACCCCCCGTGGCCCCAGTGGGGCCCTTCGTGCTGGGGGCCCCAAAGGGGCACACACGGGGAAGACGGCCTTCTGGACAGGGCAGCTTTGCTGCAAGCATCTCCCTCCAAATGGAATTTTTGACAGCAAACGCCAAGCCTTTTGGCACCTTGAAGACAAGGAGCAACGTTGTTTGAACTCTTTCAAGGCCCCGCAGGACTCCATTTTTGCTAACTCTCGGGAGTTTTTCTTTTTTGAATCTCGTTGCTGTTGTTATGTTACATCCCCCACCTTTTCCCCTCTTGCAAGCAACTCCAGGCAGCTTACCAGGTTCTCCTCTCCTCCATTTCATCCCTTGGAAGCCAGGCATGCAGGCACGCCATGCATCCGTCACGCAAGACTGCGAGTGCCCAGTCAAGCCCTCCGGACGGTGGCCGTGTCGAGCTGCTGCCACGCGCGCGGGGCACCTGGGGCCCTGCCGCCTAGCCGAGCGCGGCAGCCACTTCCATGGGCTGCAGCAAACTTGGCGCAACGGAGGAGGCAAGCTAGTTGTGTGCACTTTGACTTGGGAACGCCAAAGCATCCATGGGAATTGTGCTTTCAATTGATCCACCTGCCAAGGAGCCCTCCCCCCTCTGGAAAGGCAATTCCCTCCTGCCAGCCCACGTAGCCAAACTCCCTCTCGGGGCAGGAGGACGAATGTGAATCTCAAAGCTGAGGGCGGAAAGCATGAGAGGAAGAAAGGTGGGCTACCGAGCGATGTTGCCAGCTGTGTTGTCAGCCTCCTGCCAGTGCCCCACCTGGACAGGGAGGGGGTTGCTCAGCACCACCACCAGGACGGGCGGCTGAGGAGGAGCACACCTGCCCCGGCAGCTGCCCACATCCCCAAGTGACCCAGACAAACCTGTCCCAGAGAGATCCCTTCGCTCTGCAGGCGGCTGCGCAGCCTTCCCCCACCTGCTGCCCATTGACAGCACTCACCTGCCAACAGCCCGTGGCATGTGCAGGGCACGCCGCCTGAGCCCCTGCTCCTCCCACCTGAGGAACACGCAGCATAGACCTGAGCGGCTCCTGTTGCACCTGGGCACCTGTGCATCCCACTCCCCCCGTCCGCTGGACTGTCAGCACAGCCTGCCCTGCCCTCCTTCAGCCTCCGAAGCAAAATTCGAAGGGACGGGTCTGCCAGCCCCAGATGCTGCACGTGACTCCGTGGGGCATCTGCCAGCCCAGCTGGGGTCCGAGAGGTTCTCAGCACAGGAAGAGAACTTGGAGACAGACAGCTCTGCCACCTCATCCTCACCACCAAGACCCCCGGCAAGGGGCCTCCCAGGAGGAGGAAGGGGAAAGCAAGTGCTGCTGCCAGGCACCAAGGCTGGCCCGGATGCTGCCCACTCTGCCCGCTGCTGCTTGTCTCCCCCGATGCCCTGTGAGGCCGGCATCCCAGGGAGCGGAAGGCGCATGCGGCCTCAGGTGCGCCTGTGCCTGGGCAGGAGCGAACTCCACAAAGCAACCTGGCCAGCAACCAAGCCACTCCCTCATCTTTACATGAGCACCCTAATTTCATACAAGCTTTAGGATGCCCTAGAAAGGAGGGCAGGCGGGCAGGCAGGCTGGCGCAAGGCATCGGCTCAGTTACTAAAAAATAACCTCTCCATTTTAGAACTTATGTCAATAGGAGAGTGGCCACCCAAATTTTAGAACTATTTGGATTCAGCATAACAGGAAAACTGAGAAGATGCAGCCTCAAGCCTTCCCCGCAACATATATTAAAACTATTCCTAGACTGTCTTTCAGGCTGGAACCCCAGGCTCCCTCCCATCTGCTGGGGCACGAAGCCCTTCATGGCGGGCAGAACTCTCAGAATTCTCTCCGTTTGGTGTCTGGTCGCTGTTCGGGTGTGCAAGGTGAGCCCTTGGCCTCACCTGTAAGGACATCCTGTGGCTGATATTGGCAGCATAATGTAAGAGCCAACGCAGAGGCCCTTGAAGAAGGAAGCACAACTCAAAACACGGTGGCAGGAGGGATTGGCCAAGGGACAGAGGTCTCTAGAGCCAGTGCCAGAAACCCTTCATTTGCTGAGCACGCTAATTAAGAAAGACAAAACCATCACTTAAAAAGGAACTGTTTTCTTTCCAGGCTCCTCCACCCCAGCATTTGCCACACCAGCTCTAGCTGACATAAGCAGGCATCACTTGCGCGCCCACGTAATTGTTAGAGAAGAGTTCTGATCACTCTCGCAAGGGTTTAGACACCCTTTTGTAAACAGGTCTGGTCCTGCAGCAGCCACATGGCCAAGCAAATCCCCTTTACCCTCTGACCGCAAAGGCAGCAGTGGAGGGAGAGGCAGGCAGAGGGGCTGCTGTGACGCCGGCTGCCACCGGGACTTCAGAACGCCCCCAGAGACGCTGGAAGCCGAGCTCTTGCGCATCAGGCCTGGCCGTCACGCTGGCCTCTCGCTTGCCCCTGCGGCACGGAAGCAGCCAGCCAGCCAGCCCAGGGTGCTTCCTCCTCCACCCCCACACAAGAAGACCTCCACTCCTGCTGGCTGTTCTGAGGCCCTATCCGATTCCCCCATAAATAACACACCAAAACCCAAACAGCCAGCAGGTGGGTTTTTGCTCCACCCTTGAAGCCTCATTAAAAGCCAATATTGCTCAGCCTAAAGATGGAAAGCTCAGCATAGATTTTACTGAACGTTAAATCAACCAGCAAGCACAGCCAGCAAACTCTGTGGCACTTTAACTTTAAATAATGCAATAATTATTGAATTTCCTTTTTATAACTGAAGTGCTGGAATGTAAACAATGGGGCTGTAATTGCAGGAAGGGGGGATCAATAGAGGCAATCGTTTTCAGCCATGTTAATTGTAAATACAATTGCTCCAAGATGTCAGCCTTGTTCCTCTCGCTCCCAGAATCACCCTAACGGATGACAGAGTCCAACTTTCCCATTACAGCTGTTCGTTCCTTTAAGAGGTTCTCAATCAGGTCTGATCAATCTGTCAAGATAATGCATGGAGTAAGTAAGACTCTTCCAAACACAAATGTCCAATCAATAGCCCCAACCAGCTTAATGAGGAGGGGCTAAAGCCCAGAGGGAGGCAAGAGCCCGGCTTCCGCAGGCCGGCTAAACAGATCAGTCCTTAACAAGCCTGCTCTGTGGCCAAGATTCAGCGGCAGCACAGCCCCCTCCCCCGGGACGGGCGGCACTGACGGCACCGAGCGCGGCTCCTCCAATTGCGCCACAGGCCAAGGCACACTCATTAATCACTTGCCACGGCCACGCCGAGAGACAAACGCCTCCCCGTCCTCGTTCCGACTACGCAGCCCCAGCGTCACACGGCCTCCGGGCAAGGGCCTGCGGCAGGCATGGCTTGCCAGCAGCCACAGGACTGGCCTTCCCAGGGAGCATCGAGGCTCAGCCAGCAACAGAGCGGCTGCCTGGGGGCTTCTCCCCCACTGGGGGTGGGGGCGCCAAAGGAGAAGGCCAGGAAGCAGGACCTCTTCTAGCTTCCCTGACCACCACCAGGCCCTCTCCTCAGAACCCACCGCTGGTCCTGGCAGCAGGGCCGCCCAGGCAAGCCCACCCACAGGACTTGGCCCCATGCAGCCACCTTCACCTCCCAAAGAGGAAACGAGGGGATTCCTGCAAAGGGAGCTGACGGAGGAAGGAAAGGAAGGGGGTCAAGTCTCTCCTGGACACTCAGGGTTTACTCAGAACTGCAATCATGGAAGCTTAGTTGGAAAGGAGATTGGGGGAACCTTGGAGACACCATCAAGACCAACAGGTCACCTGTGCAGGTAACTAGAAGAGCACAGAGAAAACTGCACGGGAAAGGAGGCTTCCTCAGAATAGGGAGGACTACCCAGCTGAGAGCAAAGCAGACCCTGTGCTTGCGGAGGAGTAATGCAAGCCGACAGTAAACTAGGCAAAAGGTTTTCAAGGAGCATTTTGCTGCTAACTTTGTGACCAAAATAAACAAATCTTTACAAACATCAGAAGCAGAAATGCAGCCCGGGATGCAGCTGGATCACTGGATGATAAGAGAGTTAAAGGAGCACTAAAAGAGATCAGGAGAGTTTGAGAAGCTGAATGAATTCTTTTGTCTTCACTACAGGTGATATATGGCTAACACCCATTACCCAGATACTAATGTTTCCAAGAAGGCATTCTAAAGAACTGAAGGAAATTGTGGTAATGAGGGGTGTGGATCTTAATGATGTATCGGAAATAAATAGTTACTAGGTCCAGAGCGTGTCCATCTGAGAGTCCTTCAAGCCAATTCTGAAACAGGTGATCTTACCCCAAAATACCTAATGTGTCTCTAAGATCAGTCTCTGCATCAGTCCAGAAAGCAACGAGTGTAGCAACATTTTTTTTAAAGCCGAGCTGGGGAGCATGGTGGTGGTGGTGGCTGGGTGATTACAGTCAGTTAGCGTAATATCTATTCCAGGAAAATTGGTGGAAAGGGCTAATAAAGATAAAATTATAACATGCAAAGAAGCACATGTCTTGTTGAAGAAAAATCAACATGGCTTCCAGAAAGGCAAGTCCTGCCTCGCCAGCCTTGAGTATCGGCGGGCATGTGGCCTGGGGTGACCTAGCAGGCCATATCTGGGCTTTCAGGGGGCTTTCGACAAAGATCCCCCCTCCCCATGAGCAGGGCCAATTCTCCTGAGCAGTATTGGCAGTAATGGAGTAAAGGCAGAGGTCTTCCTGCAGCTTGGGAACTAGTTAGAGAACAGGAAGCAGAGAGCGGGCATAATAGGTCGGTTCTCACAACGGAGGAATGTAAAAAGTACGGTCTCACCGGGATTTGTATTGGAACCAATGCTTTCTAGTTTGTTATGAATTATATGAATTTAAGGGAGAGTTCTGCATGGACCTATTGTCTGGTGGCACAGTGTAGTCACCAGAATAGCGAGAACAAAAAGGGAGAACA